CGGGCCGGACGAGGAAGGAGCCTCCGCTGATCGGTGAGTGCTGGGAGCGGATAGGGGCTCCGTTCGTCTCTGCCCATTGTCTGTAGCTCCAGAGAGCGGAGGAGGATGCTACTGGCTGTGGACGGGAAGGAGAGCCCGGCCTGGGGTGGGGAGGACGATGCTGGCTGTGGATGGGGGTGGTGTGCAACACGACAGTTCCGGGCATAGCGAGCGACATATGATGAGGGTTTCCATTATTTTGTCATTACATTGAGTGTTGCTGTGATCAGAGACTGGACGTGTGTGCCCGCACAGTTGACTACCACCCCCATCATTGTGATGATGATGAATAATAACCCGGATGACAGGGCGCTCCCCGTTCTCGGTGTCTCCTGTGTGTAATCATTTCCCATCTCTTCTCCTGATCCCAGTCATGTGACCATCTTCCTCGTTACATTGTTAAATGTCCATTACGAGTCTGTATGGGATGATCAGATGACCATATATGGACCTGTGAGGTCACATGACACGCTGGGGTTGTGGTGCCCAACCTGGGGCTCAGGGGGACCTCATCTGGCCCTATGGCCCCCCAGGGCCCGTGCAGACAGCAGTCCTATGTTTCCTTTCCCCCAGGAACTCACTCAGGTCAGTGAATGAAAAATGTACAAAGTTCTTGGAGTTAAAGGGATTGGTTTATTTCTGTCACATCGTCTTCCTCCTTTTCTCTGACGCCCGGTCACTTTCTTTGTCACTCATCTCTGGGACGGCCCTGATCCCTGGCGGTCCCCTGGGACGGCCCTGATCCCTGGCGGTCTATTACCATCTCCTGTTGAACATTTGCACTCTGACAGCTCTGTGTAGCATTACAATCACTATATATTGTGCGGCCCTTTGGTTATATCATGCCCAACTTGGGACCCGCTATTCTAAGACAGCTGAGCACCACTGCACTAGGGCCATGATTTGGTCATCCGTAGGGGAATAGTTAAGATCTCTGGTTGAGGACTCTATTTGGGGTGATGGTCCATCATTTCCACACCCGCTGCAATCCCGGCCTTGTGTGTCGGATCGGTTGGCTGTCGTACGCAGAACTTTTCTGGAAGATCCGAAGATTTATTGGCTGGTTCCTGTGTGTTGGGGATTCAGTGTCTGTATACAATGTTGCAGTATTCGGACTCTCAGCTGCTCCTCACTTCCTGTTCCTGTGTGTTGGGGATTTGGTGTCTGTATACAATGTTGCAGTATTCGGACTCTCAGCTGCTCCTCACTTCCTGTTCCTGTGTGTTGGGGATTTGGTGTCTGTATACAATGTTGCAGTATTCGGACTCTCAGCTGCTCCTCGCTTCCTGTTCCTGTGTGTTGGGGATTCGGTGTCTGTATACAATGTTGCAGTTCCTGTTCCTGTGTAGTAGAAGGCTCGTTCCCGGTGTATGTTCCAGGTTTTCAGATCATGTACATGGTTGTCAGCATCCGGCTCTGGGCCAGCATCACATGATATCAGCCATGGGCAGACTTCTCACTCCTAATAGATGAAGGGTGGCCTGGCACAGACAAAGATGGTGCCGGGTAGTGCAGTGGTGGGCTACAGAGCCATAGTCCCACCTGACAGCTTAGCTCTGGGGTTGTTAGAGGAAAAAAAATGACCCCTTCCCCCAGTGATCAGATTGTACATCGTAACTTTGTAGCAAGTCACAAGATGAGAGGCCGCAGCAGGGGCTGATCTGTGTCAGACATTTGTGAACACAAAGAACAAAGATGGTGACCAGAAGGGTCTGGACAGAAAAGCAGATGAAGGCATTATCAGGGGGAGTACTCCAATCCCTTTGAGAGGTAATACATACCTGGAAGTGTTAGTTACATATTATTTGGCACTTATGCACCTACCATGAAAGTTGTACCTCATGCCGGGTCACGTGTTACAGGTTGAAGCTGACGGGTTCCATCATTTCAGGTATAAATCTAAAATGTGGAAATAAATAAAACATTGCGGAGAGCGCCGGCCGGCTATAAACTGCATCCGCCCGGTCTTCAGAGCAATGACGATAGCATGACTCAGACTGCAACATGGCCGCCTCCATTTTGGGATGGTGCGTGATGCGGGAGGTGTCAGTTTTGGGTGTAGCCGTCATCACTGATAACATCTGATTCACTCCTTCTATAAAGCCGTCAGTCATCGCGCCCGCCGCAGATCATCGCGTCCCGTTCTGTCGCTGTATTCGCTGCACGGAACCAGCAACGACATTCACAACCCATCAAAGATCTTCTCCCCCCGGGGGGACTACAAGTCCCATGAGCCATTGCAAGACTCTGCCTGTCACAGGGATGACCCCCAGTAGCAGATGCATGGTGGGATTTGTAGTATCAGCACAGCTGGAGGGCCTGTGTTGCTCAGCCCTGTTCTAGAGGACATGCTGTGACCTGTAGTTCCCCAGCAGCTTCTCAGTCATATCCAGCATAGCGTCTTCAAGGGGAACTTCCACTCTAGAGGCAAAGTTGCCCCCCCCCTTCCTCTAGAATGCTGTTGGGAGGGGGGATCAGTTATATAATATACCGGCGTTTCCTGGACTTCCTCCCCGCTAGGTGAAGGTGACCCCCCCCATCGTGCTTTCCGCCTGATAATGGGGAGTAGCCCAACTCTCTGGAGGAAATAATGCTGTAGTGCAGAGGTGGCCAACTCCGGCCCCCCAGCTGTTGTCGAACTACAAGTCCCATGAGGCATTGCAAGACTCTGACATCAACAGGCATGACTCCCAGAGGCAGGAGCATGATGGGGTTTGTAGTTAAGGCACAGCTGGGGGGCCGGAGTTGCCCACCCTTGCTTAGTGTATGAGCATGTTGGATACAGGACTGTGGGTGGGCTGCGCTCTGTTACTGAAGTGGACGGCTGGCCTAAGAAAAGTTCAATCTACTAATAAAAAGTTTAAAGTAGACCTGAAGCCTTTAATTTTCCTCGTGCTTCTCCTGCACGCAGGAAACCTGCGTCCCGGGATTGATGTGCATACACATGCGCGGCTCTACGCAAGTATCGGTGTATACCTATCTACAGCCATTGACCTCTAATGGAAGGCTGGACTCGGGTACCGTCATATACCTGTGTACAGCCATTGACTTCTACAGGAGGCTGTACACAAGTACCGGCATATTCCTGTGTACAGCCATTGGCCTCTATGAGAGGATGTACACAAGTACCGGCATATTCCTGTGTACAGCCATTGGCCTCTATGAGAGGATGAACACAAGTACCGGCATATTCCTGTGTACAGCCATCAACTTCTATGGGAGGATGTACACAAGTACCGGCATATTCCTGTGTACAGCCATTGACCTCTATGAGAGGATGTACACAAGTACCGGCATATTCCTGTGTACAGCCATTGACCTCTATGAGAGGATGTACACAAGTACCGGCATATTCCTGTGTACAGCCATCAACTTCTATGGGAGGATGTACATAAGTACCGGCATATTCCTGTGTACAGCCATTGGCCTCTATGAGAGGATGTACACAAGTACCGGCATATTCCTGTGTACAGCCATTGGCCTCTATGAGAGGATGTACACAAGTACCGGCATATTCCTGTGTACGGGAATATGGCGTTTTTGTTATATGTACACAATTACCGGCATATTCCTGTGTACAGCCATTGGCCTCTATGAGAGGATGTACACAAGTACCGGCATATTCCTGTGTACGGCCATTGACCTCTATGAGAGGATGTACACAAGTACCGGCATATTCCTGTGTACAGCCATTGGCCTCTATGAGAGGATGTACACAAGTACCGGCATATTCCTGTGTACAGCCATTGACCTCTATGAGAGGATGTACACAAGTACCGGCATATTCCTGTGTACAGCCATTGGCCTCTATGAGAGGATGTACACAAGTACCGGCATATTCCTGTGTACAGCCATTGACCTCTATGAGAGGATGTACACAAGTACCGGCATATTCCTGTGTACAGCCATTGGCCTCTATGAGAGGATGTACACAAGTACCGGCATATTCCTGTGTACAGCCATTGGCCTCTATGAGAGGATGTACACAAGTACCGGCATATTCCTGTGTACAGCCATTGACCTCTATGAGAGGATGTACACAAGTACCGGCATATTCCTGTGTACAGCCATTGGCCTCTATGAGAGGATGTACACAAGTACCGGCATATTCCTGTGTACAGCCATTGACCTCTATGAGAGGATGTACACAAGTACCGGCATATTCCTGTGTACAGCCATTGACCTCTATGAGAGGATGTACACAAGTACCGGCATATTCCTGTGTACAGCCATTGGCCTCTATGAGAGGATGTACACAAGTACCGGCATATTCCTGTGTACAGCCATTGACCTCTATGAGAGGATGTACACAAGTACCGGCATATTCCTGTGTACAGCCATTGACTTCTACAGGAGGCTGTACACAAGTACCGGCATATTCCTGTGTACAGCCATTGACCTCTATGAGAGGATGTACACAAGTACCGGCATATTCCTGTGTACAGCCATTGGCCTCTATGGGAGGATGTACACAAGTACCGGCATATTCCTGTGTACAGCCATTGGCCTCTATGGCAGGCTGGACGGCGCAGCTGCAAGCTCTCTGGCGGTGGGAATATGGCGTATTTGTTATACGGGTTCAGCCTCCTGTGTGCAGAGCCTCAGTAGCAGCTGGTACGGGAAATATTCAGGTGTCCGGTACGGTGCCCCCCTCTGTAGTACACAGTAGTGACGTAGAGGTCAGCAGGAGATCGCCAGTCCTGGAAGTGTTGGTTTTCCCGCTAGACATTGGACGATGATTCCGGAGGCGGTGATAGCACTGCACCATAAACCTCACCGTATCTTCTACAGCAGGAAATGGAGTGCCTGACCTTTGACCTGTCATAACCCTCACAGGCTTGTCCCCTTGACTCCCCACAGGTATCCTCTGGATCTAAGGCTCTGTTCATACCTAGGCGTATCGAATATATTCACGTTTGTCGCGCGTTTCGTGGCGCGTGTTTTTACCGCGATTCGCAGTAAAAAAAACCGCGTGTTTCCGAGGGCTACTTGGC